AGGGATGCAATCACACAGGTCCTCCCTCTGCCCATTCCTGGCTGGGATCTGTACCCAGACAAAGCCCTCTACCAGACCTTGGGGTGTCCCCAAGGGACTCTGGCCCCAGGGGCTCCTTCCCCAGACACACAGAAGGTGAAATATGAGTTTCATCCCTCCAGACATTTTAATGACTTCACTTGGGAACCAAAGAAAAGAAGAGAGACAGAAAGATCAAGGACCAGTTGCTTAGTAACGAAAGGAGAGAGGTGCAGAGGATGGGAGAAAAAGATAAAAAGATATTTTTTTTTTTTTAATGAGACTGTTTCTCTACTTTCAGGAGACATGAATCCCCCACTCCAGCACCTCTGGTGCCACATTCCACAGAGATGCTCCCCTCTGCAAGGCCTGGGTTTCATCCCTGTCCCTAGGGCTGTGGGAAGATCCCTCTAAAACAGACAGACTCTATATTCCTAGGACATCACCAGCAAGGAAAAGAGGTGGTAGAATGTGGTGGATGGAAGGATGATTTCTCTGAGTGACAGACATGTATGACCTCCACCACCACCACCTAAATTTTGTTGTTCTATGACACCACCAGCAAAACTGGGAGCAGGACAGCTTCAGGTGTGATCTACTAAGCTAATATTGACACATCCTGCCAGACTCTTTCTGTTCCAAACCTGCTCCTCCTCCTGCCTGAGCTCTCCTCCCAGCCAGAGGAAACCAGCTGGGAATGGAGCTGGGGGTTTAAGCTGCCCATGGCTGGTGCTGACCTTTCCTTCCCAGCATGGCAAGCGTGGAGATGAGCTGAGGGCTCGGCTTCACACCCCTGAAAATGTCAAGCCCTGGCAGCAGGACTGGGAGCTGGGACAGCTGCTGGGAGCCCTGGCAGCAGGAGGGAGAGCAAAACCAGGCTGCATTTAATTAAGAGCAGGCTGCATGCTGTTAACCATTTATTGCCCTCCAGAAGGGAGCCAGTTCCACCCCTGCCTGCACACCGAGGGCAGGAGGATGCTCTGGGGACATTCCCAATACAGGGAATGGTGCCAGTGGCTCTAAAACCTGCTTGTTCTTGGTCACTGATGCTGTTCACCACCCTCACTGCTGTAGCCTGAGGGCAGAGGTCTCATCCCTCCCTCTGGAGCCCTGGCCCTGCTTTCTCCTTTGACCCCTCATCTCCCCTCCCACTCCTCACCCAGTGATCTCTAACCCACAGCAGAAGGGAAATCAAAGTCCCCGACATCTCTGAGTTTCCATGGGAACACAAGTGCTGCTGGTCCTCCCAGCCCTGCAGATGCTGATTGCAGAGCAGAGCATCCTGGCAATGCCAAGCATGAGAGAAAACTATCCCTATCCTTCCCAAAGATCAGCTAAAAAATCTGCCCAAATTCTACCTGCTGCAGGTAGGGGACAAAACCCTGTTCAGCAGATGTATCATGGCACAGGTTCACATCTCATCCCAATGCTGTCTAAGGCGATGGATCCAGCTGGGAATCTGCTTTGGCACTGAATTCCTTTTCCCTGCCAGGTACAGAAGCACCACAGCCATGGGGAGGATTGAATCCTAAATTGTAGGGAGTTAAGAAGGACCAGAGGAGCAGCAAGGCAAAGCACAGGCTGCTAAGGGGAAGAGAAGCAGGGAAAAAGCAGGCTCCCATGGGGAGGGACTGCTATGGGATATCAGGATGGCACTCTGCTCCCTGCTTGGCTCGTTTCCCCAGTGTTCATGATGTGCTGCAGAGCTGTATCTATTACCTATAGCTATATCAATATTTTAGGACAAGCATGAGTCAGGCCCTTTCCTTCAGGCTCTTATCCACCTGATATTTTCCACCTTCTCTTTGCTGGCTTCCACCTGCAGGCAAAGCCTCTCGGGGGATCACCTACCTGGAAATCCACCTGCCAGGGCTCGGGGCTGACCTGCTGCAGGTCCTGCAGCTGGGTTTTCCGGAGGGGGTTTTTCACCAGGGCTGTGCCAGGATCACTGGCTGTGGGCACCTTCCTGCGAGGCTCGTGGTCGGAGATTTGGGTGGTGCTGTACGCCCGTCTCCTGGACAGAACCTTCACGTCCATTCCTGAACGGTGGGAGAGAGGATCAGCTCCACTCCGGGGTGGGATCAGCCAGCATCACCCCCCTGGCTCACAGTGGGAGGCAGGGAGCTCTCACCAAGGTCCTGCCAAAGCTCAGGGGGTCACACTCAGCCCTGCAAAGGTTTAAGCAAAGCAACGAAACCACAAAAGGAAATAGAAGCACAAAATTCCTGGGTATGTCAAGAGAGCAGGTTGGGAAGGTTTTGTCTGAGGAGTTTTCAGCCAAAAAAAGCCTGACTGCATTTCCCCAAACCTCCCTGGAGAAGACAAAGGGTTTACTAATGAAATTTAATTAGTGCAGACACGCTCCTGTCAGAGCATGACTAAAATTTGCCTTGGAAAGACATGATTTCTCATTGCTTTTGACAAGTTTGAGGGGATGCACAGTACAGATCCTCTCGGAATAAAAGGGAAGAACATCCCATGAGTAACAGAGGTTTCCCCAGCTCCAGGGTGCAACCAGCTGCTTTATGCCACATGCTGCTGAAACAAACACCCAGCCAGGCCATGGTGGGGGGAAGTGACACCCTGGGGAGAGGGCTTTGGATCCATTCTCCCCTTCTCCTGACTGGGAAGCTGCTTTGCAGGTACAGGGATGGTCTAGCAAGGATACCCATTTGCTCACTCCACTCTTCCTCACACTGCTTGGGAAGTTTGTAAATAATTATGTGGCTAAAGCTAAAGCTGCTTTGAAAATCTCCAGGGAACCCAGCTCACCAGGGCTTCCCTTGATTTCCTGACAGGTTTGGATACAACATCCAAAGCAGACTTGCTCAAGCCTCAGGAGAGCTGTCATCTCTCCTGCAAACTCCTCCAGCTCTTTGCAGCTGAAGATATGTATAAATCAGGCAAAAAAAAAAAGGGGGAGCAGTGAGAGGAGCTTGACTAGAGAGACAGGGGCATCACCCCCCAGCATGTACAGAGGAAAATCTGACCCGTGTCCATGTCCGACTCTCCCCCAGGATCTCTGCCCACGCCCAGGTGGTCGGGGGAGTGCTCGGCGGGGCAGGACCCCTCCGAGTCTCTGGAGTAGTTCCAGCTCTCCAAGCCTGCTCCCTCCTCCTGGGAGTGAAAGAAAACAGAGCTGCCCGACTCCTGGGAATGCATCATGCTGTACTGCCGCCTCTTGTCCTGGGGGGAAGCACAGAGAGGGAACAGGTCCCACCACCGTGTCTGTCCACCGGCTCCCAGCTGAGACAGGCTGCACCAGCATCCTTAGCCACCAGTGCCCCCAAAGTCCTGCCCACACCTCCCCTAAGGACACAGCTGGGAAGCAGGAGACACCCCCTGACCATGCACAGAGCCAACAACACCCCCCCTCCCGGGAGAGCCCCGCAGACTCACAGATCTGGGGTTGGAGAGGTACAGGGAGGTGTCACAGATGACACCGTAGCTGACCAGGTGGTCACCAGGGAACAGGCAACTGCTGCTGACAGGGGACACCAAGACCTCAGTGCTCTCAGGAAAGGCCCACTCCACGGACACATCACTCAGGACCGGCGCCATCGCCTTCTTCAATGACCTGATCATCTGCAAAGGGCAGGGGGAAGAGGTTCAACAGTGGGTATGGTGTCACTTGGACATGGTGTGAGCCGTGGTGCACGTGCCACGTGCTGCAGGGAAGGGGAACGTTCCCTCAAACAATCCCATCAGCTGATTCCTGCCGTCTCCTGACTGTCTGCTTCCTCTTAGTCTACTCTGACGTCCATCCCAGCACCCCCACCTCCTTGGCACAATTACACTTGACAGAGCTGAGTTAATGGTTGATCTTTTCCAACCTAAATGACTCCATGATTTTTTACCATGAGTAGATAGTGATGAAGCACAGGGCTGATCTCACACATGCTGCCACCCCAGAGCAAGGTGGGAGCTATTGGCCTGAGGGATCATTCTCTGATGTGAGGCAGCATCCCTTGCTCCCCTCTAGCACCCAGGAAATGCTGTCAGCCTTCAACAGGCTGAGCCCCAGCCCTTGTCCCGAGCCCAGCACTCACACACTGATATTTTTGGAACAGCTCATTGCTGGCACAGTGAGCCAGAGATCAGCAAGCCACTGCCAGAGATCAGCAATGCTCTGCCAGCTACACACGTGGAGAAGACCAATATTCCTGAATACCTCATGGACAAATCTCCCAGGGAGCCATCTACGTGAGCTTCCCTGCATGCCAAGGGAACTGAACACCAGATTTAGAGACAGAATAGCTCAAATATTCCCTATTGTTCCCTGCTTTTTTACAGGCTTGGGAAGACACACCAGGCTGTGTTTTATAAGGCCATTAATTGACACCTCAGACTGCTGAAGGCACCGAGCTGAACAGCCTGCAAAGCTCTTATTAATAGCTCTTATTAAACAGCTCTCTCTTCACTGTCTGCTTTTAATTTACATCAGAAATGTTGATGCCATTCTGTCTTAGAGAGGTTTTTACGTGCTCCAGGCTCCTGCAGAGGGTGGAGTTGCCGAACTCTTCGAGAGATCAAGAAGGTAGGAGCTGGTTTTTTGGAGACATTTAAGAGCTAAAGACCCAATTCTCTCTGGGTTTAGTCAAGCAGCAGGTGACAGGCTGGTCTCTGCATCCACCAGGAGACAGAGCCATCCCTACGCCAGATCTCAAGCACACAGTTTTACTCTTCATGGGGAGATAGGGAATGGAGAGGCTTTAAAGTCAGCTTAATAAGCAAAGCCATCACATTCCTCCCGCTCCAACCCCGCGTCCTTCTCGCCCGGGCAACGCCAGGGCTGAGCCCGACTTCAAAACTAATTGGCTGCTTTGATGCCGGTCCCAGTGCCCTCGCCGCATCTGAGGCAGAGCTGCCTTCGAAGGCAGAGCTGCAGCACCCACACGGAGGCAAACGCACCCTCCGCTCCCTCCGACGGGACACGGAGATGCTGCTCGCCCACCCGCTGAGGTGGGGGGCTGGCAAGGCAGGGCCAGGATGGGGAATGAACCCGCTGGGAGCCGCCTCGCTGAGCCAGAGCAGCGGGGCTGTACCTTGGGCTGCAGCCTCTCGCCCTCCGCCAGGAACTCGGAGACGCCCCTGGACACGGCAGCCAGACCCCGCACCAGCCTCCTGCAGGCGTTCGGCCCGATGCCAAAGCTGTAGCACCTGCAAAGGGACAGGGAGAATCAGTCGGGATCCAAAGGAAAAGCCATCCCCCAGCCCCTTGTAGCTTCCACACTCCCTCAGGCAGAAACTCCCTCTGGCTTTATCCCACTGCTATGTCCAGCAGAATAAACCTAAAAAGGTATGTGGCAGGAAGGTTGAGAACCTCCCAGTGCCTAAAGGGGCTCCAAGAAAGCTGGAGAAGGACTTTGGACATGGTCATGGAATGACAGGAAAAGGGGTAATGGTTTTAAGCTGAAAAAGGCAGGGCTAGACTGGATATTGGGAAGAAATTCTTCTCTGTGAGGGTGGTCCTAGCACAGGTTCCCCAGGAAAGCTGTGGCTGCCCCTGGATCCCTGGAAGTGTCCAAGGCCAGGCTGGACAGGGTTTGGAGCACTCTGGGCTATGGAAGGGGTCCCTGCCCATGGCAGGGGGGTGGGGTGAGATGGGCTTTAAGGTCCCTTCCAATCCAAACCATTCTGGGATTCTATGAACTGCCAGCCCCCTCCTCTCAGCAGACCCCAAACCCCTTCCCCAGAGACCAGCCTTCAGCAGTGACACTCAGGAGCTCCCAGCAGGACCTCAAGCCTTCCCCCTCCTCTGCAAACACAAACAAGCTGCTTTGCTCTCAGTTCAACTCTTTTTCCCTCCTGGCTGTGGTCAATAGCACTAAATATCCAGTAATTATCTCTGCTTGCAATGAAAAGAAACTTTTTCCCAGGGAAGGATGATCAAGCCAGGTGAGGCTGCTCCCCCTGACTCCCAGGTCTGTGAATCAGGATTTGGTATGGGCTGAAGGCTGGACATTGAGCTGGAGCCCAGACAGGGAGGGCAGTGCTAGGTGGGGATGGATGTGCAGGGAGGCCAGGAAGATGGGAATGGGTGGGATGTAGCATTTGGGCAGGGGAGTAGATTGCTGAGAAAGAAAGCACCTTCAGCAGCAAACTGCATCTGCACAAGGGGCTTTTCTCGTGGAGGGTTTTAATCCTCGGCTGCCTGCAAATCCAGCCTCACACCCCTCCTAAATAAGGCTCTGATCTTCTTTTAAGATGGGCCATGCCCAGGACTCTCCCTTCCAGGGTCACCAGAGACCACGCTCCAGCTCTGATTGCATTTAACCCTCCCCTCCAGCTCTGCAAGAGCGAGGGGTGGGATAGTGGGATGCCCTCTACACTGGGAAACAATCTAACCTCTGTGCAGTTACAAACCCACAGAGCAGCTTGCCTGATAGCTCTGAAGTCTGAGAGATGGGACAGGAATCAGGATTTCTTACATTTTTCTCATGTTTTGTGCCCCTTAAAGAGGCAGAAGAGAAACCAGAACAGCCTGTGATCAGGGCTGGGGAGCCAGGCTGGGAGCTTGTGCACAAATTAGCTGCTTTATACATTGCTCCCTTTCAGCATATTCAATTCTGCACAGCCCCATCCTGGAAGCAGCTGGGGCCAGCCCCAGATGTGCTTTAAAAAAAATTAAAAAAAAAAGCAAGGAAGATTGTTGGCGTGTCAATCTCTCCTAGCAGGAAGCATCAGCCAAGAGCTGTGAAGTTGTCAGCTCAATTATCCTGCTTTTGATTGTTTAAAAAGCATCTGAACTTCTGGGATTCGTTCCAAACCCTTTGAGGTTCTCCCAGGCTCATAGCAGCAATCTCTCCTGCCTCTGTCTCTGAAGTGGGGACGTCTGTGAGATGGAGCTGTGCTCAAGGGGAGGCACATCCCAGCCTGTGCCAGCCTTCTGGCCCTGCAGGGGTGAGTCTGTACCTGGTGGAGCAGGAGTGGTCCCGCAGCAGCTCCAGAACCTTCCCAGTGTTGCTGATGGCCCCGCCCGTCAGCAGGAAGAGCAGCCGGGGGTGGCCCCTGTGGAGGGGCTGGCGGGTGACCCACTTCAGGGGGGATAAGAGGTTGATGCTGCCCATATCAGCTCGGATCCTCCTGATGCTCTGGCAGGCCACAAGCAGGCTCTCCTGCCCAAAGGAACAGTGGAATTGTCAGCACCAGCACCCTCTGAGCACCAAGGAGAGCCATAGGAGAGCTGAGGGAGCTGAGGCTGTTCATCCAGGTGGAGGGAAGATTTTGGAGAGACCTTAAAGCCCCTTCCAGTGTCTTAAGGGGCTCCAAAAGGAGAAGGACTTTGGACAATGGCCTGGAGTGACAGGACAAGGGGGAATAGCTTTAAGCTGAAAAGGGGCATGGTTAGATTTGGTATTAATTATTTATTATAAGGGTGGTAAGGCCCTGGCACAAGCTGCCCAGAGAAGTCGTGGCTGCCCCTGGAGCCCTGGAGGTGTTCAAGGCCAGGCTGGATGGGGCTGGAAGCACCCAGGTTTAGTGGAAGGTGTCCCTGCCAATGGCATGCAAGATCCCTCCCCACACAAACCAGGCTGTGATTCTGTGAACTGGGGGTTCACCCACCTCACAATAGGCCTGGCTGACAGGAAAGAGGGTCTTGAAGGTGGAGCCAAACCCAATGACATTGAAGAGACACGCTGGCATCAGGCTCTTGAGAATGACCAGCAGGGCATCCTGAGGGGTGAAAAGCAAACAGACATCACGACACTTGGACCCTCCCTGGCTGCCCCAACTTCACCAGTAAAAGCTCTGCCCCGAGCCATCCCATCTTATTCCCACTTTCACCTAACAACAAACCAACTGCTTCTTTCCCATGCCTCCATATGACCCTGCTCTTTTCAAAGTCCCTTGATGATATCTGGGACCTGAAGCAGTGAGGAAAATGGAGTCTTTGGAAAAAAGAGACAACAAAGAACTGAACAATTTTTTCTGTTTGTTTTTAAGGGATTCAATTTGTGCTGGCAACACACTGCTGCAGCACAGAGCTGGTGGGTGAGAAGCAGAGTGTGAAATTGAGAAGTGCGACACGCAATGCATCTCAATGCCTAAACTTGCAGAAAATAAACAAACAGCTTAAAGTTACACAAAAGGAAAAGCCTCCCCCCGCCCCAATTCTCTTGTATTCATAGCTGGCTTCAATTAAAATAACTGGGAGACAACAGATTTAAGCTATTTTCTTTACCAGAGGTGGTTATCTAACATGCCTATTCCTGGGTTTTACATAAGGCAAGAGCAACTTGAATTGTCACAGTGATATTGTGGACAAGTGCAGGACAGAGCTTGTGATCACAGAAACTGGGCAAGAGCTGCTTAAGGAGCTCTTGAACTCGTAGGAGCAATTATGTGGCAGGAGAGGAGGCCAATTTCAAGCAAAGTGTTTATTTAAAGCAAAATGTAAAGCAAAGTGCTCAGGAGCAGCTCAGTTCTATTTAAATGCTGATCAAGGCAGACTCCTGCCAGTCTGCCGAGGGCAGCAGAAACCCTCCAGCCAGCCCCTGGAGGTGCTGCCAAGGTCAAACGAGCAAGAATAGCCTCCTTGAGTTGTCCTACCAGTGGCAAAGACCAAGTGACCACAGAGGGACATAGCAAACTCCCTGCCTGGGTCCAGCACCGATGCGGTGCCAGGGCAACCCAGCTCCTAAAGCCTGTAGTACTCAGCAAAAAAAAAAAAACAAAAAAAAAAAAAAAAAAAAAAAAAAAAAAAAAAAAAAAAAACAGAGCTGGAGCACTGAAAATCAGTGGAATAATGTAAAGAACAGGGCTGCCCTTTAACAGGCTCTGGAGTACTTGAATCCAAGCTGTTATCTCAAACCTACAAGGATATATTTATACCACTGCTCCCAGATGGCTCCCGGGATGCTGGCTCTTCCAGATCTCAGTGCTGACATCTCATCTTGGAACTCATTACAAGGGAAAAAATACAAATTTCCAAATATTTCTCTTAAAGCATTTCCCAAAATGGGCAAGCGATGCCTGCTTGCTATTTCAGCAAGCAGAAAGATTTATTGCTTCTTATGGTAAATATTGATCTTGATCCTGTTGCACTCCATAGATATATGGCAACTCAATAAGGAGGGATGTTTGCTTCTAGAAAAGTCAATTCCCAGTTATTAGTGCAGTTTTGCAGCGAGCACCATCACAGCCTGGCACTTCTCCCTGGCTGCATCAGGGTGGGAAAGGAAATGGCTGCAGGAAATTTAAATCCCTGAATTTTCCACTCCAGCTGCTTTGGACGGGTGCCCTCCTGCTCCGCATGGGCCCTTCCACCCCATCCCTGAGTGCATCCTGAGGCTGCACAGCTCCAAGACCTGTCATGCCATGCATCCAGCCAGCTAAGGATGATTCAGAAGATTCCACCAACCAAAACCCACCCAAACCCTCTCAGAACAGCTCTTGTCATGAGGTCCCTGGTGTCTGTGAGTGACAAACAAGGACAGGACATTCAAAAGAGGGTCAGTGGGTTTCTCCCTTCAGGTATCTCCTCCAAAATCTCCCTCAAAATATTTTTTCCTGAAGGGGAACAGCCTTCTTCCTGTTTCTACAGCCCTCCTGAGATGGGGTTTCCATACCAGGACCAATCAGAGAAGGGTGCTGATCCTGCAGGTCTCCATCCCCAGGGGACAATCCAGCCTCCACAGAGGCTGCGGAGTCTGTGGTGCCCAAACCCAGCCATGCTGGGAGTTGGAAAGCAAAAATCCACCCTGGGACAATATTCCCAGACTCCTAAAGATGCTGGGGGAAGCGGGCACAACCCCAGAGATATCTTGTTCCCCTTGGGAACAGCCTCTCTATTCCATGGGATGTGCTGCAGCCATCTGCAGACTCCCCAGAATCCCAGTCCTTGTTGCTGAAGGTGTCTGTCCTTCCTCAGCAGTTCCCATGGAAACTGGAGACAGATGGGAAAAGAGATGTGCTAGAAGATGGACAAGTTCAGGAGTGGGTCTGTGGGAACCTCATGAGGTTCAACAGACCAAGTGCAGGGTCCTGCACCAAGTCTGGCTCTGGGTAATAGCCACATCTGACAGGGGAACCTCAGACCTACAAAATATCCTGACAATGCTATTTTTTATCCAGAGGTCTCAACACAACTCCCATAACTATCCACCGGGCTGCTGGTGTTCATTTGTGTTTGTAAAAGGGATGTCTCATATTTAAAACATTTCTGTGGGTTCACAGAGATGCCCATCAGCAAAACCTCTCCTAATGCATGGTCAGCACCTCTCCTTGGAGCTCCCTGGAGGTTTCCTCCTAGGCAGCCATCACTCAAAGCCCTCCTGGAGACAGGAAGAACTGGAAAAGGGATGCACAAAACATGCCAGCAAGAGAGGGAAAGAAAATAATTTTACATTTTATGTGCTGATAGGAAGAAGCAGAAGAGAACACAGGAGAGTCACCTTTGTTGCAGGTACCAAACGAGCGCCATAGTTGAGATGACTAAACTGCAGCCTATAATTACTCCCCATCCCCTGATAATGAACATTTATGCTTTCAGCACCCCCACTGCTCTCTCTCATTCATCCCTGTTGACAGGCAGGTGTTTCCCCTCCTGCAGGTACCTTGGCATGGCTGATATTCACACCACTCATGCTCCTACTGCGGTCTACCAGGAAGATGAACTCCCCCTGGGCTTTCCGGAGGCCTGGCTGCACAGCCCTCAAGTCAGGGCAGAAGTTGAGCATGATGACAGGGTGGTGGGGGATGTCCTTGTTCAGCCGCTTCCTGATGATTTCCATCTGAAAGAAAGCAGGAGAGAGCTCGAGAGGTTGATTTTGAGAAGTTGATTTCTCCACCCCATTTCAATTCAAGGGAAATCAGAACATGGCTCAAAATGCAAGTGCAGGGCCTTTTGTGGGCCAAAATCTGCTTGTTCAGAGGTGACAACACCAGGGTGGGCCAATATCCAGGTGTCCAGTTCTGTCCATTCCCACAGTATTCACCATCCCTGCAAGTGTCCAAGACCAGGCTGGACAGGACTTGGAGCAAGCTGGGATAGCGAAAGGTGTCCCTGCCCACGGGATGGGTGGGACAAGATAAGCTTTAAGGGCCTCTCCAACAAATCATTCCGGGACTGTATCGAACAACTGCACACTCAGATAAAAGCCTGAAGAAGAAATCAAAAGACCTCGCCCTACCCAGCACCTTCCAAACCTGATTCTCCAAACATTTCATTAGATCCTTCCCGAAGACTTGGTTCATTAGCACAGCTTAGCATCCCACCAAGGCACACCAGAGGCTTTCTCCATGGTCACTCACTAATGAAGCGTGAGATGCAGCCCTTGATCTGCTGCATTCAGCACTCCAATTCATTCCTGCCACCTCTGGTTTGCTGCTTTTTCTGCCCATTTCTTTTATCACTTTGTAGGGATTGAAAAGCTTTGGAAAGCTGAACCATCTGCACCAGCCATGGCTCGATAGGAGCCCGCATGATCTCTGCACTGCACACAGCTCCAATGGCTCTCTGCATTTTCTCACCTTCTATTTAAAGTATTCATTACAAATGGGATAAAATAAAACTGGTAAAAACTTCTTGTGAGGGTTTATAATGTGCTGTTATGTGTGTATCAAGCAGTAACAGGTTCACAGCCTCAGCTGCTTTGGAGGGAGCTCCAGGACCCCACATCAACCCAGTCATGGCCTTTCATCCCTGAGTCTGAGTGTGGAAACAACTCCTCAACAGCAGCTCGATCCTCAGGGGCTTTGTTTGCCTCTTTTCTCCTCTTTCTGGCTGCTTTTCTCGTTGCTTTCACAGGGAGTAAAGCAGACCCCAAATAACTGGGCTTGTTTTCTCCAGCCATGAGTCACATTCCTCAGTCTATGAGCTGACGACCCACCTTTATTTTCTAAAACTCACTAACTCCCTGTGGCTCAACACACACACACAAGCTCTACTTTCAGCTCCTCTGCCTGAGTGCTGCTTCTCTGACCCAGTGGAAAGACAGATCTCACTCACAGGAATAAGCCAAGCTCCCACTCATCCTCTTGCCTTTTCCTTCTATGCTATGGGGTATAAATTAATCAGCTATTGAGAAATCAAAGGGCTTTTTCCATCTCCGTTTCCCTCCAGCCATATGACATTATTTCCTTTAACAACTTTTCCAGTTTATCACATTCCAGACTAGAGTGTTCCTTGTTGCCTCTGTACAAATACTGAATTGTGGCCCTGGACCTATCCACAGAACTCCCTGGAATGCTCTTGGGTATCCATGGCATAAATTTACTGTGTGATCAGAATGAGCCCATATTTTGGGATTTCTCACTGACTGGAGGGAATTTTACAGGCAAATCTTCAGTAAACAGCTTCAGAGGACCTGCTACAGGTCAGAAAAGAAAATATCTCCTCACCTCCCTTCCGTTCCCCTTCACCCATTATCCAATTACAGTAAACTAATCAGATTTTGTTGAGGAAAGTTGATTCTACTGTGCATCCATCCCCACCAACCTGCAGCTGACAGCATCCAAGCCTTTTGCATAACAAACAGAGGGAGGAGAATTATTTATAATTTACTGCTGAAATTTCTGGGCTAATTTAATTTAAGCCAAGAAGTGGCCAGTGTCCTGCTCTGAGCAGCAGCAATTCCAGCCCATCATCTACCCCAGGTATTACAGGCATTTTCTCTGCTCCCTGCAGTAGTTTCCCAGTCCTCTTGGGGCACAGGTGGCTTTCCTGCAGGGAAATGTCTCCAGAATGATCCCCCCTTAGATAATTTGACATGCTAAATGTGCAGAAATAATTAGGGAGCCATCCGAGGCGTAGCGTGGGAGTTTCATCTCGTTCCACCTGCCACACGCTGAACACAATTAGAGGAGACGCCTGCGGAGTCCCAGCCCTGCCAGAGAGAGCGGAGGGCAAAGGAAGGGAGGAGAGGAGGGTTGACAAGTCTCTGCTGAAAGGAGAAATCTTAGCAGCATGGGGAAGCACCCCTGCAGCAGGTCTGGGACCTCTGCCAAGAGGGACCCAGGATCAGAGACGTGGAGAAGGAGTTTAGGGAAAATGAGCATCCCTCGGCACACAGGAGAGCCCTGGCTGTGTAAAACAGGAGCTGACTGTCAGTGCCAGCTGTGGTCACACAAGCACAAGCTGTCCCTTAGGAGAAGACGCCCACCCTGGAAATCCAGAGGGCTCTGAGCTGTCTGCTCCTCTCCACTGATCCCATACACACCAAAGAGCTGGGCTGTCACTCATTCCTTCAGAACTGCTGAAAGACGAGGCAGAAATCCCAGCACAGATATTTTTCTCTTTGCTGCTCAGCAGAACAAAGAGAAGTCTCTCATACCTTGTCTTCAGTTCAGCTCATTATTGCAGAAAAATCACTTCTTTCTCTCTGACAGCTACCCAGAAACAGTAAACATTTACCGAGCAATTAAAATAATATTTTATTCTATGTCATTGCAATAATTATAATACTCTTAATGCTATCACAATGCACCTCTCTAATTATGCTATGCTAGACTAGCACTAATTATACACACAATAACCATCTCAGAGCTCCTTCCCCTCTCAGTTTATCAGCAGCACTGCTGAATTTCCCCCTCTTCCTCCACACAAGCCCCTCTCTGAGGGAGGATGCTGCAGGTCTCATTGATACAGTGTGATATCTGATGCTCAAAACATGGAATCATCTTCTAGCTCTGCTCCAGCCCTTGGAAAGCCTCAGCTAACACCTGCAGCTTGTGTTTCTCACCTTTTTCTTGGCACTGGGGTCTTTCTTAGTGCCTTTAATAAAATCGTTCTTCCCCTTCAGGTGTCGTTCGTACTCTGCAGGGGTCATGTCACCCTCTTCCATTAAGACGTGGGGCATGTGGGGCTCTGTAAATGCAGAGAATTGTGTAAAGAACAGCTGTGGTTACACTTTGGGTCTGGCAGAGATGCAGGCACCCTTGGTTGAGAAAACAGCAGTATCTGTGAGCTTGGAGAGCTCAGAAAACCCTGAGAGGGCCAGGATTACCTCCTGGGAAGCCTAACCTTGACAATATTTACAAAACCAGCATTAATCCAGCTACAGTTGAGGATCCCAGGAAGGGGCAAGACAGCAGAGGGGCAGCAGAGTCCACCTACCACTTGGGTGGATCAGGATCTCCACGGGTCTGTCGAAGGTGTGCTTGTTGGCCAGCGTGATCACAATGCTCTTGGCAGAGCGGGCCGAGGGGTCGGCGTCTGCTCGGATCTCGTGTGTGGGGCTCTCAACTCCTGCCCGGGAAAACCGAGGCGCCAGTAGGGATTGAGGGTGGGCGACACCAGGGAGAAGGGAAGACAAGGTAGCAGAGGACAGGAACCCATGTCAGCATCAACCCTGTACTGGTAAATCCACCCCAGCACTGTTAAGTTGCTAACACAGATTTATATTGAGGAGGAGGAGTGTGGACATTGCCTTGGGGATGTGATAAATCAGCCTTGTGCAGCAGGACAGCCCCAGTGCTCCTACCTGCCAGCAAACACGGCCCTCGGATCTCCAGCTGGAAGCTGAATTCGTACTCAAAGGGGTTGGTGGCCTCACTGTCCAGCAGCTGAGTCAGGCAGAACCTGCTCCCTTGCTCTGGGCTCCCCAGTCCACAGGGCTGCTTGTCCCTGCTGGTGACATAAATCCAAATAAACCCTATCAACGTGTTCTATCCCCCCAGGAACTGCAGATGTGCCAGAGATAAAGCCTGCAGCCACTCTCCAACCTCCTGCAGCTCCTGCTCATTCAGCCCTGCATTCCCCAGGATCAATCCCAGACAGAGCCCTTCCCATGGTTTTCCATACGTTTGGAGCTGGTGGCTGGAGAAGCTGCTGGCATTCTCCAGGCTGGGCTGGGGGACCCTGGGAGCACACACAGCTGGCAGAAGGACCCTCACCACCCCGCTGGGTAATGTCTGCAGCTCAGAGGAGGTGCTGATGAAGATGGAGACACTTTCCAGGGGAGGAATCATGCCCAGGTTGGCCACAAAAGCAATCCTCTCCAGGTCCTCATCCATCATAATCCTTCCTGCACAGAGATTGGACCATGCCAGGTATTGCAACTATGGAAAATGCTCCTTTCCAGGCCTCCCACAACCCCCAGCCCTGGATCAAACACCCAAAGCCACCACTGCACACATCAGCTTTCTCTAAAAAGCCCCAGCTCCTGCATCACTCCTTTGCCTGCCCAGAAGCAGCAGTGCTTTCCAAGATGGATAAGACTGACATTTTTTGGCATAAGCACCACAACCCCTCAGCCTCCCAAAAGGAGCCCCTTTGATGCCACAGCATACACCAGCCAGCCACCCCCATCACCTCCCCACTCCCTTTGCCCTCCTTTTCTTCCTAAAACACCCTCAACCCCCTCACCACTTCCATCAGCAGCTCTTCCAGGGGGGAGGCTGCAGCTGTTGAAGTAGGTGCCATCCATCTTGGCTTTGTCTTTGATCTGCACTGTCACAGTGCGCCGGGACACGGCTGCCTCGAAGCCCACGACAGTCGTGCCCTCATCCAAGGGGTACACAAAGAGACCTGCCAGCCAGGAAGGGTGTTAGCAACACCCACCAGCCAGGTCCCTCTTGGCACTTCCCAAGTGGGAAAAAAATCCCACTTGTGGGATTTTTCACACCTAAAAATTGTAGACTTGGACACAATACATTTGGTTGTGCTTCCTACCAGCATCTAAAGGTTGAAGGCATGCACAGAAACCCAGCACTGCCATGTTAAAGTTTCCATTCCAAGCTTCACTCCTTAAAACTTGCCTTCCAAAGCCTGGGGATCTGGGTTGTGGTAGGTGAGCAGAGCTGTCATCCCAAAGGCATAGCCACTGACACAGGATGTCACCTCGGACGCAATGAGGGGCAGCCGGGAGAGGGTCACCCAGTTAATCAGCCCTGGCATCTTCCTCGAGGTCTCTGGGTGATGCTGGGGAGCTGGAAAGAGAAAGGTGAGAATGGATGTGGAGCCCCGAGTGACCAAAATGTTTGCATGGCTCTGCCACCTCATTCTGAAGCCCTGAGGACAGAAAGGTGAGTGACCTGGGACAGGGTGAGACCTGGGTTTGATGACTGCAGTGATGGGCATGGAGCAAGACCCCGATGGAAGACACAAAGCAAACTCTTGCTCCAAATCCCCATTGGCACAAGGGAGGAGGTTCAGATGAAACCTCCCTGGCTGGGGACAGACAGCCCTGGAGGTCCATAGTCCCCACCTCCCACAATGCTGAGTCTGAGCAGAACAGGTTAACATCTTTTTCCGTCCCTCTTTCTCCTCATTATCCTCCAAACCAACAACTTGCTCCAGGATAAGACTATGATCATGAGAGTTTTCCTTTCTCCTGGGGAAGGAAGAGTAGGCAGGCAGAGCCATACATGCTCCTGCCCTCCCATGCCCTTGCCCATCCTCATCCCTGCTGATTACAGGGAGGTGTCATTGCTCTGCTGTCCTGCATCTCCAGATCCTTCCTGCACAGGCTGACTCATCCCTCCCTGTGCTCAGCCGACACATTCAGATGCAAAGTGATTCCTTATGCCAATTACATTCCAACTCTTTTCCCTAAACAGGTTTTCTTCCATTTCAGATCCTCTCCCCCAGGCCTCAGGGTCTTAAAGGAGACTTTTCAGGTGGATTTTAGGGCCCCATCCTGATCCCTCAGGGAACCAGGAGAAGTTGCTAGGCAGCAGTTCTCCCTGGCTGGCTCTGCAATGCTTTATGCAGTGATTTACGAGGCCCAGCACTGAAATACATCAGTTTCTCATTCCTGCGTTATTAAAACCCACCTTTATATGCAAATGCCACAGAAGACATCAAGGCCACGAGCTGGATGAGTGCTCAGGCGGGAAAATGGCGCTCATAAAGAAAAAAGGGAGAGACAGGGAGAGCAAGAAGGGTTGTCCAGTACGGGGAAGAGCAGCCAGGGAAACTGAGCACAGGAAACAGCAGTGAAGATGATGATGGAGGGCAGTAATCCCAAGGCACGCCCCTGAATCCCGGCCAAAAACCTTAAATTCCCGATTTAATCCACCCCTCCTTCCAGCACAAATGCTGCTCATGCCAGGAGCTGCCCAGGAAGGTTGGGGATGCATCCATGAGGATGCAGCCCCCACAGTCAGGAGATGAATGGGGGTCCCACCTGAGCCAGGGGATGCTCCAAGCCATGCCAACTGGGCTGGGGAAGTCAGGAGCTGGTAAGAGTTCACCTGCTACAGAGAGAGATAATGGAGCTCTCCTCACTTCAATATGTGGCATCAAGGTATTGGGAAGTGATTAAATGCCAGGTGAGGGAGGAAGGAGGGAGAATGATTTTACCTTAGGGAAGAGATAAAAACAGGAAGAAGCTCTCTATCAGCTTGGCACAACAGGAATTCATTACAGGACTGCCAGAGGGGTGAATTTGGACTCCAGGAGCGTGACTTCAGCTTGGAACTGGGGACTCAGTACAGACCCATGGGTGAGATCCAAGCCCCTCACATCTCCTGCGCCCATGGAAGATTAGGGACATAGCTCCCATGGGAATCACTCTGCCAGCAGGGATTTCTGCATCACCTGGGCCAGGACAAGCACTAAAGGATCCTTGCGGAGATGCAGAGCCCTGTGCCATGTCCCATTTAATCCAGACAGGAAAGCTGCACCTCTCCTGCAGCTCCGAGGTGCCTCAGAGGAGCCTGGCACCAGCCCACACTGCTGTGCCAGCCAAAAAATCGGCCCCACAAGGACAGGGAGGGCTCAGAGGGCTCTTCCCGGCAAAAAACCTTTGAAAGGGGATGCTGCCAGCAGAGCCATGGGGCTGCTCCACACAGCTTGTGTCACCAACGCCATCAAGTGACTGCAGCACAGAAAGCGAGAGCAGCGGAAAGGCTGGAGTGAGGTGGAGCAGCAGGAAGGCTGGAATCTCTCCCCTGTGCAGGAACTCAGCATTGGCCCCTCACCTGCTCCTGCTTTTGCTGCTCTGGGATGTGCACTCAGTCTCCATTCAGGCCACAGAGCCTGAATTCTCAGGATGGGACCTGGCAGGACCCTGCATCCCAAAAAAATTACCAACAGCTTAATGCTGCACAGGGTACTCCTAGACACACCCAAAGTTCAGCTGTCCCCTCGCTGCCACCAAATGTGTCCTGCCTCCCACACACAGCAGGTGTGGGGCCATCCCACAGACCTGGCCAGGTGCTCCTTGACCTCACACTGCACCTGGCATCCCAGGAAAAAGGGAAAACACTGAAATACCTTCAGCCCTCAAAATACACCTGTAATTACCTTCAGCCCTCAAAATACACCTGTAATCCCATCAACTAGGGAGCACCTCAGAGCTGGGGACAGACACTGTCCCTTGGCCAGCTGCGCTCTGGAGCTGGCACACCAGGCTGCTACTGGATCAATCTTTGTTCCCCCCCTTCCTTTGTAAGCATCCTTTCCATGACAACCCACTGCTCTTCCTGGCCACAGAGGGGAGGGAGACATGGAACTGTGATCATCCCACTCCAGGCAATACCCTCAGCCAAACCCTGTGCCCGACTGATGGGGAAGGCGCAGATGCTGCTGCGACATCCCCGTGACGTGCAGGGAGCGCAGGGCTGCGAGCCGGAGCACAGGCTCCAGGCCCTGCACAGGGCTGCAGGTGTCTGTCCCAGCACTCCAGAGAGGTTGGGGATGGATTTTATGGGATGGTTAAAGGTGTTTATGTGCCTGAAAAATGGGGATGGTGCCTGAAGCACTGCTTGGAGCTTCCTGGGCGTCCGTCTGTGTCTGTAAGTGCTGACATGCCCTCAAAAATCTGTCTGAGCACATGGAGTAAAGACAGGGGCAGAGCAATGCTCCTCTGAGGTGTATTTTCATCCATTGAAAAGGAAAATAGAGCAAAACCGTGAGCACACAGCCTGGCTTCTGGCAGGGCCCGACTCCCAGGAGTGGGTTGGGGTCCCAGCTGTACCACACCACAGGATCTGTGGCATCCGTGGCTGACAACAGGATAAAGAGAGTCAAAGCAGGAGCTGGGATAAAACCCGACACAGCTCCACTCAGCCCTGCTGCCTGAAGGGCAGAAATCAGGGGCAGCTCAGCTGCTCCTGCCCCCCAGGACAGGAAGACTGCCGTGTGAAGCCCAGCCCTGGTGTCACACCTTTCGTCAGATGCATTTTTGAGCAGCTGAATCACTGTCCCGCCCTGCTGTAACCCCTGACCGGCCACAAACGGGTTCCCTTGGAGACCTTGCCTCCAGGTCCGAGCTAGACCTGGGACACATCCCCACTGCTCAGAGGACGCCTGTTTTTTTGCAGCTGGGCAAAATATTCCTTCCACGTCGTCTGTCTCAATCAACACTGACATCCAGTGGCTCGCCGGGATGACGACAGCCGGAGTGTCCTGTGGAGATGTACCGGTGGGCAGAGCTGGCCAAGGATGCCTGTTGCACCACAGCCTCCCATCAGCATTCCCGGGCCATCTCCATGGGAAAACAAACTCGGCACTGTTTGCAAACTCAAGACAGGAGGAACCTTGCACTTCCCAAACTTTCAGGGCTCTCAAGTAGAGTCACCCTCGGGAATTCTCCCTGATTTTCAGGGGCTGCAAGGCTCAGGGAGCTGCTGAGGGACACCTGACTTTACCCTGACCCACATTACTGCAGGTCATGACTAAGACATCAGGAGCCCTCCAGCTGCTTTCTCCCAAAGCACAAGGCTCAAACCTGGCCAGGCAACTGGGATCAACCCCCAGAATATCTCTAGGAATAGGAGGAAATGGGTTTGAACGAGCACCCATAGCACTGTCCTATCTGGAAGAGCCATGGATCCACCATGGCAGACCTATGAGATACTCTCAGCAAAAGCTACAGGAACTGCTCTCCCATCTCCAGCCTCCCCTTGCCTCAAACTGCAAGCAGAATATCCCACTTAGTGGAAAACCAGGAAAACAGCCACTGCAGGCCCCCAAAGGATGACCACAGGGGCCCCCCACTGCCACAGCAATGACAAGGATTGCTGGCCCCAAGGACACCCTGAGGCCTCTGATATGGAAACTGGGGAAAGGTTGGGAAGCAACTACTCCTGCCAGAGCCCACTGGAAGCAACCAGGTCCCCCTTTCTGAGGTGACATAGTGCCAGGCTGACACATGACTGACAGCCCTGGCAGAGACAGATTTTGGGGACTGTCAGCCTTAACCCTGGCAAGTGTCTTGGACCATCAGCCTGGCCACAGAGTTGGGTCTCACAGACCTCACAGGTCTCACAGATTCATGACCCAAGCACCTCCCCAGAGCTGTTAATCACACATTTGTGACACAGGGGTTAGTTAACCCCAACCTCGCCAGGCTCACAGTTGGGGGGAAGATCCCTGGGCTGAGCCAGAGGTGGGGGTTTTATGCCTGTTGGCCCAGACACTCCTCAGCTGGGCTAAACATGCCAGACAGTCTGCTTCCTGCTCGGGGTGCATCCAAATCCAAGGAGACACACAGGGCCCCCAGGAGCAGCCCAGCCCTTCTCCATCCACCCCTGTCCTGCCCTGCCCTGCCCCAGCCAGTGTGGTGGATTCCAGGCAGGTCTCAGTGTTTTGACCCTCACCCTGCCAAGGTCACTCCTCCTTCCCCAAACAGTGTGTCCACAGATGGGTAATCCCACTTGGTTGCCCATGTCAGCAACAGTCCATCAGCCCCGCATCCATCCCTGCACAGAGATGGACACAGTCACTACTAATGTCTGTACAATTTTTGGGGAGGGATGGGATGTTCTGGGACTCACCATCCAGCTGGGAAAAAGCTAGGCTAGGAAGCAGCAGCTTGCAAAGTGTGGGCTTGTGCCTGCACAAATATTATGACAGGGATTTCTTCAGTGAGCGGCTTTGTGCTGGGATTGTGCACAGCCTTGGGAAGTGACACACACACACACCCCTCACACCCACCCCTGCGGAGCTAAAAAGGTGCAGGAGCAACTGGAGAGTAGCCACTGCTTTTCTTACCTTTCCTGGGAGAGAGGAGGAGGAGAAGGAAGAAGGGGATGGGGGGGTTGGAGCAACTTCACCCACTCTTCCAGCCCCTCTGCGGCTGGGCTGGGGAGGACAGGAGGGGCAGGAGGAATCCCGAAGGCGACAGGCACGGCGGCGGAGCGCTGTCTCTGGAAGACAGGGAGAGAGGGAGATGAGGAGAGAGGGAAAGGGAGGGAGAGGGAGAGGAGCAAGCGCCGGAGCTTGGGGTGGGGGAGCGCTGCACCACCAGCCACCTCAGCAACCGGTGGCTTCACCTCCCGGACCCTCCCCAACGGGCAGCGGGGCTGGGGGAAACCGGGGAGTCCGGGGGTCCCGGGGGGGCGAGGAAGGGTCTTACCGAACCGGCTGCAGCAACATGTGCCCGGGCGGGGAGGCTCTGCCCGGAGCCGGGAGGGTGTCTGGCTCCCCTGGGATGGGGGGCTTCTGGATGCCCAGGGTGGGTCTCTCGCCCCCCACCGCTGACTCAAAGTGTCCGGAGCTGTCTGGGTGACCATCACCATCACCCAGTGGAGCCATTTGTTTTGCCAGGGAGGTAACCATGACAATCCCCTCGAACACCCTGGCGCTTCCCCCTCCCCTCGCTCCCCTCCTGAGCCCGGGGGCTGCAGGGGAGGGAACGGGCGAGGGGCGAAGCCCATCCGGGCGGATGAGACGCCCCGAGCTGGGCAGGCTGGTGGAAAAAAAAGAGGCTGCAAACTCCCCTTACCCATCCCCGCGATTTGTCTCGCCGGGATTTTCTGCAGCAGTTGCCGGGAGGGGAAGAACCCACCGCATTCACCTTTGTCATCCCCTTTCTCTTTCAAAGGAAGGAAAGCACCATAAAGCCCCCCAAAACCAGGATGCATCACCGCTCACTGGCCTCCTCTGCAGCCCTGAGCTGGATCTCTCTTCCACCCTTGCTGTTGCCCCCATTCCCACCTCAGCTCATGCCCCCTCTCCTCCCCAGGAACACCCAAAGCCCCTCAACCACAGCCCCCACCCATGGGGATCTAGAAGGACCCTCCCCACAGGAGCGATGCTGTCACTGAGGGATGTCCCTGGTGGGATACAGTCCCTGCCCTGAGCAACTTACACTTAAACCCAGGAAAAACAACTTGTAGAAAGGGGAAACTGAGGCAGCTGGAGGGGGACACAGACTTGGACATTGTCCCAAAGCAGAGCTGGACACTGCGCCTGGGTCAGAGCATACCGAGGGTAAAGCTCCTCTTTCTCCCCTGGCCTCCGAGGGCACATCCACACCTCAGGATCAGGATGACCAGATGTGTGGCACCCCTAATGACCCATCCTCTTCCTCAAGAACAATGTGTTTCAGAGGAAACGGCAAGAAATTCCACAAACAAATTCCTGTTCAAGAATTTTTTCCTAAGCCCAGCTCCCAGGGCTGACTTCAGCCCTGAACCTCCAGAATTTATGGTTCTTGCCAGACAAATAAGTCAGCCATGGAAAAACCCAGGTCTGTAAATGTTTGTTTACCACAGCTTGTGGCTTCTGGGAAGAAAATAACATATGCCAGGAGAAATCCTGGGATTCAAACCAACAAATGGGGTAGCAGCAGGGTATTTGTTTAGAAGATAAAGCAGCATCTGACATGGTGGATGAGGCAAGTGTGAGACTTCAGGAAGACACACATGGAGTTGTTTTGGGGGCAATTAATATTTAGTGCTGATGCTGAAGCTGCATCACCACAGTTATCAATGAGGTGATCAAAAGTGCTGCCCAGAACAGCTCACGAGGGGTCTCCAGCTGGTGTTTGCTCCTCCTCATCTTCTCCAGGTTGGCTTTGCCTAGGACACCCCACCATCAGTGAGGGTCAGCCCCTCCCAGGGAGCAGCAGTGGGGAATGGGATGGGTATAAATGAGAGAGGGGATGGGTAAAAATGGGTATAAATAAGGCAAAATTGGGACGGGGACAAGCTAAAAGTAGCATTTGAGGTCACCTAAGTGCCATCTTGAAGCTTGTGTCTTTACCCACCTGGGGCCAGGCAACAGCAGCATCTCTGACCACCACAGAGGGATATTTCCAGGTTCATGCCTGGGTGGATTCTGGGACTGGCCAAGCACAGGACAGGCTTTCCAGACTCATTATCCAGCTCACTCAAGTGTGCAAGTGTGGTGCTCTTGAGCTGGGAGATTCAGATGGGCTCAAAACTGGGAAAAAAAAAAACAAAAAAAAACAACCCAAACCAGAAAAAACCAAATACTAAACCAAATCCCGTGCTGGATGGACAGCAATGAGCACTTCCCATTATCTCCATGTGTGCTCTGTATGTAAATACCATTTTCCTCAGCTTGGAATACTTGAAGAAACAAATAATCACCCTGTAGGGAGACTGTGATGATTAATGACAGGGCTGGGCAGGGACTGCCTCCTCCTCCTCCTCCTCCACTTCCTTCTTTTCTGCTTTCTCCTTGCAGCAGGTTTGTGTGTGGGCAAGGAATACTCTGACCTGTTTGGGGTGTAAGGACCAGAGATAATTTCAATGGAATTCCACCATCCAACCTCCACCATTGTGAGATCTCTCATTCCAGCACAGCCAAAGTCTGCCGGTAAGGAGAATTAAGCATTTATTTAAACTAATCTGAATATTTATCTCATGTTTAAATTAATAAATATGCAATTATATGACAGCAGAGTCTCCAGCAAAATCAACCCTGCATGGAACCCACAGGAAACCCATACCTCCAGGAGCCCATCCTTGCTCCACAGACTGAGGAGAAAACTCCTTCCTCATGGACAGAACAGAGAAACACCCACCACAGTCACACCTCACTGACAGGCTGCACAGCCCTGAAAATCCCAAGGAATGACTGCAGCCAAGGTCAAGGAGCAGAAAGGAGGTGTTGGAAGGATCTGCCCCCAGCCAGTGTTGCCTGATCACAGTTATCTTCTTCTCAGCACCACTGTTTTCCCCTCTCCAAAATGGGACTAAGACAAATTAAATGTGTTTATAGAAGGTGTGTCTGCAAGAAAACATTTAGTTGGAAGCATGAGCCTGTCAATCTCTGGGATTTCCCACATTCATCTTTATTTTTACCCTAATTAACTAATTAATGTCTCAGAGTTGCCTTTGGTTGCCTGTTCTCTTCCCATTGAAAATCTTCTTGCATTCAGCTCCAGTGTTCAGCATCCTCCTGTTGCCATGGAAAAAAAATGCCATGTCACCTCCACAAATAAAACTTCCAGACCCCAAAGTTCACATGTAGGGCTGGGGAGGAATCCCCACAGATTGAGGGACATGGGGCTACCACCTCCATGCAGGAAACTGAATTAGATGGAAAAGCATTAGATGATAATATTTGATAATAACAGGGTTTAGTTTTAAGGAAAAAAACAACTATGGTGGGTGTGAAGTGCAACAGTGAAGGGTCCAGCACTGCCTGGGATAAGATTTCTCAGCACAGAAGGAAATAACAACTGTACCGACCTCTATCTCATCTCCACCGATGAGAAAATGTTGTGGAAGTTGGAAGTTTTAGGCTGTGAGAACAAATTAAGTGTCTTAATTAAAGGGGAGGGGGAATACTGAGTCAGGGAAATAATCCTTGGTTTGGGAACCTGTGGCTGATACCTGCAGGCTTGGCCATTTTACTGGTTCTGCTGCATGGAATAAAAACACAAATTCAGACTGCCCTTGAGAGCTGCACTGTCAAACAAGGCTCAAGGAAGGGAATAGCAGCCCAGCGAGGAAATCCCACAGGCTCTTCCCACACTTCTTTCATTTCTACTTTCCCTTTTACTCCTCTTTATTCCAGGACCTTTAAAGAACAGGTTTGATACCAGGTCTAAGCTGGCTCCTGCCCTACAGCAGGAGACAGGACAGAAATTACTCTTGCAGCTCCTGTCACTTCTAGACCTCCATGACTCATTCTTCTACCTTGTTTTCACCTCCATCCCTGCTCCAGAGATGGAGCTGCAGTTCCCTCGCAAATGTCACAGTGTCTGTGTGATTGTCCCCCAGCCCTGGCTCCCAAGGGATCCATTCCATGGGAAACAGAAGCTGCAGCCTCACACCAGATGGCACAGCAGGGCCTGACCCCCAGCCCCAAACTAGACAGGGCACAGCCCCGGCCCCACCCCACATGGAGGGCCTGACCCCCAGGGATGGCCCGGGACAGAGCCCCACATCGTGTGAGACACAGGCTGAGCCCAGATCATACCGGGGTCCTGATCTCAGCCCCACAGCGTCCGGGGCACCCGGCCCCTGACCACAGTGTCCCTCAACATACAGGGGACCTGACCGCCCAGCCCCACAGC